TCCCTGCTCCATGATGATGTCCACAAATATTTTAGGGAACGCTTTCAGAAGTTACACTATGTAAGCCTCTCACTTTGATATTGTGCAGTTTCAAGAGCTTTTTTTTTTTCAAAAGCTTTTTGAGCTTTGTAAGCATCTCAACTTTGTAACAAAGTATTTGTGAATTTTCCCCTGCTTAGTCTTCAATAACCTCCTAAGCTTCCCAATAATTGTCATTATAGTGATAGGGATCTAAAATATCAGTGTTATGATCAAGTCAAACATTTTCTGGTTTGTCATGTCTCCAGGTGACTTTTGTCAAAGCATTATGAGAGCATTTTCTGAGTTTGCTAGAAGTCTTTCTTTGTCCTTCAAAATGGTCCCTACCATCAAACAATTTCTTCCTAAAAATTATATGCGACAGTCATCATTTTTCTCACATTTTAATTTTTTAAATCATTTTTTCCATTTACATTGACTTCATAGTAGGCTTCCTCTTCATATTGCTTTTGCACTTATTGGATAAGATGTTTTAAAATGTCCATAATGTACCCCAAGGTAACACACAAACAAAACAAACACAGGGTAGATTAACAACAAAAAGATGAAACTAAAATAAATGTGCACAGAGGGAGGACGTCACCAAGATGGCGACGTACCAGACAGCAGCCTCCGTCCTTCCACAAATATCAAATTACACAGCTCATCCATGAGCTAGAACAGCTCTGGAAGAACACTGGAGTCCACTTAAGGAACTTCATCAACATAGCAAAACAGAACATCTAAGACTAATTAATAAAAAGAAGAAAGCTTCATTTTGCCTGCATCATCTTATTTCCCAAGCATGCATTGTTCTACACTAAGAGGGAACTTCCCAGCTAGAAAGCATCCCCTGTGCCAAGAAAAGATGAGCAGGGTGAGTAACCCAAAGGTCCCACTTTGATTTTGCCCCACCATGACGGGCAAAACTGAGACATATAGAGATGGCTAAGAACAAAGGAGAAAAAGCAGGGATTTCCAATAGCAGCCATGCAGCAAGAGTCAT